GAGATCGAAGTGCGGGAAAAAAAATGGTGGCCTCGTTCTTTGGAAGGATAGGTCATTTTGCAACAATTGTGTTAGAGGATCAAAAAACAGTTTCTGCAGAATGGTACACTACCAATTGTTTGCCACTTGTCTTGGAAAAAGTTCGAGAGAAACGACCTCGCAGTAGGATCCTCCTTCACCACGACAACGCCTCGTCGCACACCGCCAAGCGAACGATCGACTATTTGGCGACATCAAACGTTGAATTACTGGGTCACCCGCCGTATAGCCCCGACCTCGCGCCTTGTGATTTTTATTTATTTCCAAAAATTAAAGAAAAACTTAAAGGAAAGCGGTTTATGAATGCTGAAGAAGCGGTGGCTGCGTATCGCGATACCATTGAAGAGACCCCTAAGGACGAGTGGGCAAAGTGCTTTTCCCAGTGGTTCCATCGCATGCAGCGGTGTATTGACGTGAATGGACAATATTTTGAAAAGATATAATAAAACTAATAACTGGCTAATGTAATCAGTTTTTGATTTTCTAAGAACTTTCAGTTTGACCCTCGTATAAGGTTCAAATAATTAGAGCAAACATAATCGTTTGTTCTGCCATGGCGTCCCCCAAATACGAACGCCCTAGGCAGTTGCCTAATTGGCCCTATATGGACGGGCCGTATAGGCCAACTAGGCAACTACCTAGGGTGTACATTATGTAGGTGCAACACCGTACACTTATCATAAAAAATACTTTGTGTCAGTAACAATGAACATATAGTCGTAGTTCTAGTTCTAATTTTATACTATGTGTTCAACAGTTGTTGTAAAAGCGGATCATGTATATCAAATTACCTAACGGAACTGGGGACCCACTCTATCAATACATCTGGTTGTGGACCTTTGTTATTTCGAATTGTATTGTTATCACTGATTTCTCAATTTCTGTTGTTCATATCAGCCGCTATACTAGAGGTGAGATATTATATCATTTTCTTTATTTTCGAATGTCGGGCTTTGTGTTGTATTTTTTTTAGACATTTATGTACCTATTCATGGTTTATCGCTTAGATTACATAATATCCATTTACATATACATAACATATACCGTGTTTGTACCCAAAAAGTGAACACCACTTAGACCCACGAAAACACTTCATTATTACTTTTGGTTATGTTTTAAAAAATGCCCCCTCCGTTTGTCACCACGTTATTACAAAGTAAATGTATTTTTTTTCATATTTTTTTTTATGCTCCAGTTACCTCTATATTTACAAAGCTTCTCTCTTCCTTCGCTGTCACACCTAATTCAACATTAATGTGACGTGATGATCAGCCAAACAATTTAGGCAAAAAGGCAGAGAACCATGCAAAGCGTTACAGTACTAAATAGCTCGTTACAGGGCTCGTAAAGCTACAGTCACTCAACTTTCAACTACTTTTGAACTAAATAAACTAAATAAACATGTTAAATAATTTATCCAAAGGTCCTACTATAACTAAAATACATTTTTTATTTATCGGTAAGTTATACCAAAATTCATCGTTTTTAATTTTTGTTGTAATTATATAGTCTTGAATCAATCGCTATCGGTCGACATTAGAATAGGGAATATGCACATTGTTTGAAAATGTTTTTATATGATTATTTGTCATTATACCTATAACTGTAAAAAATGCCTGGCACTGAAAACTAAAATTTAATAACACGAATAATCGATGAAAATAAGTAACAACTACGAGCTGTTTAAACGCCGGAATTTTTGGCGCGTACACAAATAGAGATAGACATTTTAAATCAATATGGCTTTCGAGTTATTGATTATTAATCAACTAAAATCGATTAGCAACTAATCGATTTTTTAAGTGTAATGACTTTTTTTAACAATCATATAGTTTACCAAATTGGTGAAATTAAAAAAACACTAATACATCAATTAGATTGTAATATTTTGTGTATTTTGCGACATAATATATCAATTTTATTGCATCGATGTTAACTTTGTAACCGCTCTGACAAATTGACTTTATTCTAAAGCAATAATGATCATAATAAAATATATTTAACAATCTTTTTAAGCATATTCCCTATTGTGACGTCAAGCATCAATTGGGTTAATATTGAGTGACTATTATGTCGTAGCCAAAAGCTTTAAATAGCCGTTAATAAAATGGCGCCTGTCAATTGCACGCCTAGTTTTCTAGTTTTATCATTATGACATTTAGAGCGTTCAACACGCCGGCTGATTAAAAAGTATCCTCGAAATTTCTAACCAATCTGGTGAACCACAGGCCCAAAATAACTTCTTTATTTATCATTTTATGTTATTACTAATGTAGTACCAAATTTCGAAATTGTAATAAAAAACTAAAACGATCGCAGTCAAATACTTTACTTTCTCTTACTTTATTTTAATGGATGGCGTTGTGGCCGTTTGAATCGCGGTATATTGTTATACAAATTCTATTGATTGTATTCCAATCTTTAATATTTAGATATGGTTCAGCTTACTCGTATGAAGTTTTTGATAATCTATTTTAAGTGCGAATATATATTAATTTTAGTTATAAATCTTTTTCCAGGCAATTGTGCTCAAGTTAATAATGAAAAATAATTCTGCGGAATCAATTCGTTCTAATAAAATGGATGTAAGAAACATTGTGGCAGTGAAAGGAAACTTTAATGAGTCTAGTGTATCTTGTCAGTTAACACCAGACGAAAGTGAAGACGATAAAATGGAAACGTTTGATAGATGATTGATTAAATAAAACAAAGGTTCATGATTCATTAAAACAAAGGTTTCTTTGTATGCTACTAGACGATCTGTTCTAAACTAAAATTGTGACACAGTACGAGCGACACCGCAATACAATGAGGAAGTATTTAAAAAATAAACATTCATTCCCGAAATCAAACTAGATGTCGCTACGGTACGTTCTTGATTTCTCCGTGACAACCTTTCCGGTTTTCTTTCAAGTTTAAAAGTAAATTAGTTTTCAATACTTTATAAACAATTCATATTGTATTTGTACTTTTTCGTATTTGTATTGATATCTAAGTTTTAACCTTACAAATTTCAGTTTTTTAATATGTTAGTTAAAAGGAACGGAAATGACTGTCTTTGGTCCATTCGTTTCCTGCATATATCAAGTTTTGCTAGGGTCGCCATCTCGTGGAGGTGCTTTTTTAGTGCTCTCGTTTTTTTTTAAATACTTCCTCATTGAGTAAAGGATGTGTGGTGTTGACACAACAACTTAGCGCGTAATTTTCCAGTACCGAACAAGTCTTTGGTTAAAAAGAATTTGGATACAATTTTATACAGGTACTTGATATGCTGTTGATTGTACACACAGCAACACTTTTAAAATTGACTAGGCAATGCATTATAGGGTGTAATAGCAAGTGAAGAAAGATAAATTTTAAAACCTGTTGTACCTTATTGACTGTACCTTCATAAAATCAATGCCGTGATAGTATACATAATTAAAATATTAAAGCTTACGTACGAACGTCTTAATAAACATATAATTGACAGTAGAGGTTTTTAATTTATGTTTCAAATTAAGCCTGCGACTACAGGGAACAAAGAATACAGGGCCATTTGCTACGACCACTTACCAATTCCTTGCTTCCAAACCACGTATTAATATATGAAAAGATAAGACATTTGCAATTCTATATGCACACTGTATGAAATCCCGTAGAAAACGCACGACTGCGCGATATGAATGAGGAAGTATTAAAAAAAAAATAAACTACAAAAATTAATGTCACTAGATGGCAGCACAAATTGTTGGATCTAAACGTCAATTAATATATACTCGATAATATATAATATATACTCGATTAATATAAAGTAATCTTTGAATAATTTTTTTTTTTATTTGTATAGAGGAAAATGGAAACTAACATAATGCAAGTGAGCACAGAGATTTTTAATTTATGGAAATCAATTGAATTAACGCTGTGATATAATTAAATGTGGCATTTAGCTACGGTATACAATAATATTACAAATAGTTTTTATAAATAAAATACTATACCTAATACTATACCATTTATTTATGCCATAGTAGGATTTTTTTTAGTACTAGGAATTTTTAATTATATATTTAACAAAAGTTCTGAAAACAATAACAACTAGGTAAGTTATTTTTATTGCTATTAGTTGTTTTTTGAACTTACAGAAACATAACTATATCAAGTCTCAATAATATTTTTATATTATGTATGGTGAATGGATGAATAAGGTTTATTAATCGACAACAAAAGTCATAAAAACGATAATTTTAATAAAAAATCCGTTTATTATCTATAAACACCCGATATGTATCAAATATACTATGTATTCGTACAAAATAACATGACTTCTAACTAAAATGACGTTTGTGCAAAGTGTTACGTGCAAATAACTAGTGCTTTCGAAATTAAAACTTTAAAAAACTATGATCAGTTATTAGATCCTAAACTCATAATAAATAATAAAATTAGTTTGAAAGTTAGATATCACAAGAAACACAAAACGATGTCATATTTATTAATTTTCGATATTCAATTTACTTTTATTACGTCAGAAATAAAATTTGAATGAATATCATAAACAAAATCCAAACATCACGAGTGACATCTAGTATGATTTCAAGAACTAAATTTTATTTTTTAAATACTTCCTCATTATTAATCCCTAACTAGTTTTTCTGTTTATTTCTATTGAATCTAAAGGCGACAGCGTTCAAAGAATTATATAAATCATAATTAATAACAGAAAAAATTGTCTAAGAATAGACTGTATGGGTTAGGTAACCGATTATATCCCTTTGCTTTTCATTGAATGATAATAATAAATCAAAACAAAAATTCTGGATGAAGTTTACAAAATTCTGCTCTTTTCTCGTTGAAAGGTTAAACTTACTTTATTTTCGTATTTGCTAAAATAAATTGCTGAATACATTTCAAAATATTTGCTATGCAATTAGTTTTCCCAAAATTAATTAAAAAGAATAACCTCTATCTTTCAGCTTATAATGGTGTTCCTTTCGGTAGTAAACTTTACACGTTCTCGAGGACCTGATGAGTTTTGGAGAAAAAGAAGAATATTCAGATTAGCTGCTCACTATATTGGCCGAAGCAGGAATTGCTACTCTATCGCCGTTCGTAATGTACACCGCGCCTTGGCGTATGCTACTAAGGCAAGAAAATTGAAAAAACAAGATATGATAGATTTGTGGAATACAAGAATAACAGCAGCATGTGAACAACATAATATAACTTATTATACATTGAAAGAGGGATTGGATAGAGCTAATATTATGTTGGATAGGAAGTCATTGTCTGATTTAGCATCATGGGAACCTCGTACATTTGAATGTTTAGCTGCAGTTGCAAAGCAGAAAGTCGAATATGACGGTTTTAATGATGGTACAGATAAAAATCGTCCTACGGGAACAAATTTAAAATTGAAAGATGTAATGTTAGAGGCGTGGTTGAAAGAAAACAAGAAGTTTTAGTTTGTAATCCTAATATAGACTAGAGTAAATAAAAATTAGGTACATATGATTGTATTAATGATTATCTGTTATATCCTTTTTCAGTTTTTTGGTTAATTCATTTTGTTTTTCTAATACATATAAATTTTCTATCTTTCTTCTTTGTTGACGCTCTACATCTCTTATAACACCTTCATGCATTTTTTCTCTGAAATGGAAACGCTTGATTGTTATTGAAGTTTGCCTTCAGTTGTTACTAACAAATTTAAACCATTTAATGTGAGGTTGGATCAGTAGTTTGCTGTGGTAATTCAATTATTAATAGTAAAAGTACTTCGTTTGTAGAAGACAATGGTAACTTTACCTGTCTGCTTGTTGTTTAATATGAACATATGTAACGATTCCAATAGTCACTGAGCATGCTAAACCTAAAACTAGTTTTGATGTCTGAGAAGACATTGTGCTCATAGGGATCTAATAGTTTAATTTTGAATCGAAGTGCATGTAGTATTTATCTTATCAGTTTAATTGTCTATAAGTAACTCTGCTTAAAATAAAATTCATCAAAAAAATATTTTAGTCTATTTTGGCATGTACCCTTTAAAACAATTAATTATCCAACCAGTATAGGGATGTGATGATAAATCGTAATACCGATACGTATCGACTAACAAAAGTATCGATTTGTATCGATATCGAAGAAACCGCGTTACATACGCATACTTTTGTGATTATGATAGGAATTAGGGTGTCAAAGCTGCTGTTCCTCATACTTTTATTGGTAGTAAATTTTATTTAGAGTGATAAAATAATAATAGTAGATTTTTTCCTACAAACAATATCTTTGGTATTTACGTCAAAACTAACGAATTTTGAGACATCGGTTTTATGGAGTAATATGTCAATATTGACTATACTCTTAATATATCTGTCGTGGCCAGATCGTGGAATTGACCAATGATGCGACCGGCCATTTCAAAAAATGGTCACATTTCATGTGGCCTGGCCAGATAAATGAATGATCTGCGTTTAACGATATGGACAGCTGATCGTATAACTGTTTCATGATTCGGCCAAGCATTAGTGATGATATTGTAAAATTGTTACATTAGTCTCTGTTAGTGGCGCTGATGTCGCATGGATTGGTGTATTTTCACTTATAGGTTATACAACAAATTAAAAAAGTAGGGCAACCAAGCATTGGAAATCTATGGACCACTATTGGATTTCTAAATGTTACAGTATGATATATATATCTGGCGAAGCTTTTCAATATGTGTTTAAAGTACTCCCATTTGCCACCCAACTTAATGAAAACAGCCGTGGAACCTGTCGCAAAAATAAGACGGGTGTCCTTGCATGCTTTTGTGGCGACTGATATGTAGCGAAATCTAATTCATCGCACTGCAATCGACACAACAATGAAGAAGTATTTAAAAAATAGTAATTAGAAATCATACTAGATGTCACTCACGATGTTTGGATTTTGTTTATGATATTCATTCAAATTTTGTTTTTGACCTAATGAAAGTAAATTGAGTATCGAAAATTAATAAATATGACATCGTTTTGTGTTTCTTATAATATCTAACTTTCAAATTAATTTTATTTTAATCGTAAGTTTAAGTTGTTTATTATGTTACATGTAAAGAAACGATGTTTGGTTTATACGTCAACGTTAGTGATGAGCCAACTTATTGGTTGCTCGTAACTTTCATCCGAATTCAGGTTTGGAATTAAGAACAAAAAGCACATACCCACCGTACAAATTAACTTAACACATGGCTCGACGTCCGCCGTCGACATGCACATTCAGTAGCAATAGTATAATAACTGTACGTGTCTTTGTGATTTTGAAATTTAAAGTTATAACCTTGCTGTTCGTTTAGAACAGATGTTTCTTGTTGAATGTTTATTGAGATGATTCAAATATATTTCAATAAAACTGATTTCTAGAGTAGGTTGAGTAGGAAGTCAACTATTATTGACAATATTATTGTTAGAAAGTACATACCCACCGTAGGAATCATATCCACCATAACACCTGGCCCGATATCCGCCGTCGACATTATGAATATAAGATTTATTAACTGATCTTAGTTAAAAAAAAAAGATTATAATTTGGAATGGATAACTTATTTGCACGTTGTACTTTGCACAAACGTCATTCTAGCCAGAAGTCATCTTATTTTGTACGAGTACCTAGTATTTTTGATACATATCGGGTAAGTATATAAATAATAAACGAATTATTTTAATTATAATTATCGTTTTTTATGACTTCGTTACTGATTAATAAACCATATTCATTAATTCACCACACATAATATAAAAAAATTATTGAGACTTGAGGTAGTTTTGTTGTAGTAAGTTCAACAAACAACTAATAGCAATAAAACTAACTTATCTAGTTGTTATTGTTTACAGAACTTTTGTTATATATTATAATGAAATATTCCTCGACCTACTATGGCATAAGTATTTTATTTATAAAAACTATTTGGCGATAATATTACTGTATACCGTAGCTAAATGCCACTTTTAATTATATCACAGCATTAATTCAATTAATTTCCATAAATTAAAAAAAACCTCTGTGCTCACTTCCATTATGTTAGTTTCCGTTTTCCTCTATACAAATAAAAAAGAAATTTATTCAAATATTACTTTGTATTAAACGAGTTGCGTTTGCATAACTCGAACTAATTAAATTTCAACTCGATATTAATCCGAGTTATCAGACCATAACAACACTGACAATTATTATCTTTGGTTTAACGTCATGAATTGACGTTAAGATCCAACAATTTGTTTTGCCATCTTATGACATATTTTTAGTACTTTCTTTATTTTTTTTTAAATACAACAATTTGTGCTGCCATCTAGTGACATAAGTTTTTTTTTTAAATATTTCCTCATTGATAGCGGAAGACTAGCATCGTCACAGCAATCGATAGCAAGACGAACTTCAAGAAGTTTCAACACCCAGTAACGAGATGGCGTTGTACCCTTTCAAACATTATAAATTAAGATACTTCAAGGCAGAATAAAGAAATCTACATCGCCCACAATAAGTTTCATTACTAATTAGCATAGATAGAATGTCCAACCTACATCGATTGGAACGCGGTCCCCGGGCTGACAACACCTAGCTCGGAGGAAGACAATTATTTTTTAGCCTCCCTTGCCAGTTGTCTCCATCATCACAGTAGGAATCACACCCACCTTACAGTTCCTATACTTTCTAGACCTAAGCCGTGCATTTGACCTAGTGAATTATGATATTCTTTGGAGGAATCCACGCGGCCCTACAGAAGTAGTGGATCTGTTCGGGTACTGGTATGGGGGCTGACACATTATGTGAGATGGGGCGACGCGACTTCCATCAAGCTTCTAGGCTGCAATGCGGTGTTCGTCAGGGAGTGTTGATCTTTTTAACCTATATATTAACGACTTAATCGAAAATGTAAGGGAAACTGGTGTCAATTGTCATATTTGGTGGTAGATGTGTCAATAGTCTAAGTTATGCCGACGATATGGTGTTGCTGGCACCCTCGAATAAATTTCAACACTCAGTAACGAGATGGAGCTTTAATTAGGATGTGGGTAAATTACAGTCGTGCCTCTTATTCATCCATAAGGGTTCAATATAGTGCGTCAAGTATGTTTGCTGAAGCTCGCAAAGCTGATTTTTTCGCTGTTATTAGAAGGCGCATCGCTTCATTCTGGTGTGGCTACACCACCAGTAAGACAGTAATAAGACTACATCAGTTAATGGAAAATTTATTTCTATACCCGCCAATGAAATAAGAAGCTCTTAAAAGAATTATTTCAACGTCACTGTCTGCATGAAACAAAGGAGAAAGCAACGCAACAACAGCTGTGCGCCACATGTCAATCTTCCGCAGCGCAGTCACCGGCACGCACACCCGACGCCTGGCAAAAAGGATCTCCTTTAATCAATGCCAGCCTTTATACGCCACGTCACACGATCCCTCGCCCCGCGTATCAGTCCCTTTCCCTTTCCTCTCGGCACTTTCCCCTTCCATTAAATATTGTAGCTTTCTTGTAATTAGTTTAAAATGTACATTTCTCATTGATTAAGTTTGTATTTATAATTTTAAGGAATTTTAATTGGTTAATATTATATTACGTTTTAGTATTAGTAGTTGTAAGATTTGTAAATAAAACATTCCATCCTTCTACCTGCTACGGAGTTTTACTACCCGACGACAAACAAGCTTACGACCCGATCAGAGTTGCCAAACTGGCAAAATGAATAATTCCTGCAATAGTGTAATCAAAGGAGTCGTAGTTTTTAAACAACCCTAAATTCAAGCACTGTATTTCGGTGCATCAGTCGCAAATAAATAAGTGACTATTGTACTTAAATTGAATTTAATTTAAATTAGGTACCTCAATTTATATTACATATTATTATTGTTATTAGTCTTGGATTTTATTTGCCTTTAATGAAACAATATTGTTATTACTTTTATAACATTTGTAATAGTTTATGTTTAGTCAAATAATTGCAGGAGTCTATGTGCGGAGACACAACATTGGGCTATTCTCTTCGCTGTACTAGACGGGGTCCATAATGATACTTTTGTTTTTATGAACATACTACGTTGAGGAATGCAATCAAAATAAATAAATCAATTCTGTGGTTTTTTGGATATGATAGAGACATTATTTTGATGGAGGATGATAAAATTAGGTTAGAGATTTTTCAGACCACAAAATCATAATGCTAACGTATAAACAAGCTATTTCAGCAAAATTATTTATTATTATTAGCTTTCGTTTTTGGACACCCTACCTAAATATGACCAAACGTGGATTAAACACATCATTAAGCGTTGACGCTTAAACGATATGATCAATTTTAGGTGGATATTTCATGAATACAACCTTATCATGAAATTGCCGGCCACATGCACGAAATATTGATCTCAGCATACAGATGTTTATAAAAACATTGCATCCATAAACCTGTGATATCAGTTATAAGGATAAAACGATACCTCATAGTTATAGATACTTTTACTCGATACTTTATCGGTCATGACGTATCGATACCTTGTAATATTTCGTGATTTTTGGCTAACCCCCTCTCCTCCCTTTCGAGCCTCACGTGATTAATGCCATATAATACTACTCTTTGATTAATGCCTCACCCGACCCTACAGAAAAACCCAATAATACTTTACCTGACCCGGAATCTATCACGAATAAATAAAATAAGCTTTTCTTTTTTTTTATTACTATTTTCTATCGTCTTTTTAATGTGGTTTAACTGCTTTGGGTACTGTTCTTTTGAGCATCATAAAGTATTGCCAATCAAAACGTCGAATTATTGGTATCATTTTACCAAGTATTTACTTAAATGTAGGTTTTTGTCTAATTTGCCTTTACATTATACCACTATACCTATGTCTGTGTGCATTATGTTATATAAAACTATCAAATTTTCCCATACTTATTCAACTGATTTTAAACCTTAATATATTAAGGTTAAATGTCTAATGAGGAAGTGTTTTAAGAAAAAAAGGAAAGCACTAAAAAGCACCTCACTAGATGGCGACTCTATCAAAAGTTGATTTTTGCAGGAAACGAATATCATGGAGAAATCAAAAGAGTGCCGTAGCAACATCTTGTTTGATTTTGGAAACTAATATATTTTTTTAATATTTTCTCAATGGTCGACTAGTCCTTTAATTGACTGGCGCCATTCAATTGCATGCCTAGTTTTCTAGTTTATTTTAATCATTATGACATAGGGACTGTTTAACAAGATGGCTTATTTAAAAGCAGCAAATAAATATTCCTTCGCCAACGTGGCTTTAGCTTCGCTTTGTTTACAAGCGTCTTTGTTTACAATGTTACTTCTATTTACCCATGTTCGGAGTGTTTCTCAAATTTATTAACCGCGTTGGTAGTTATTATGAACTGTTTGTCATTATGATTATAAATTTTAGTTTTTTGAAAAAAAAAAACTTTATTTTCAGTATTGTTTTCATGAATCTTATTAGGTACTTTTCAATAATAATACAGGTAGAGTCATGAGTATTTTAATCAGTACATCAAAACTTATTAAAATAGAACACTATTATATTAAGATCTCACTTATTTCTATAAAAATCAACAAACAATCATAATTTAAAGAAAGGACGTCTTTCTTCACCCTGTAACAAAAATCACTGAGAACAGTCACAACACTTCAACAAGGTCCGACCAGAGATACGTCACTTTGTGTCCATAGTCTGGTCGTTTAAAGCTTTCGTTCTGGGTCTATCTGATTAATATGTACACAACACAACGTCAAATTCGTATGGCACCGCTACCTGCCGCAGTTGTCGTAGAAACTTGCGGATCCTCGGTTTGGAATTTCAGCAAATTCACGCTTTGGCGTGCACAATTTGCTAGTAAAGTCGACATTTCTTTTCCTGGAACATTAAATTATGTTTTAAAATAATATCCTACTAATATTATAAGAAATGTTTTACTCTTTCATGCAAAAAATACTGAACGGATATTGATGAAATTTGATATACCTACGGATAATTGTAAGCATAATTTAACATATATAGCCAGTTGCACAAACGTTCATTAAAACTGTAATTAGTTAAATAGCGATATGACTGATACAAATTTGACATTTATAAGAGCTTAATAGTCCAGCGCCATAAAAGTCTAATACTTTTGTAGCCTATTCGACGCAAACAATAAATTTTTAAGTTTTATATAAATATGGATGAATATTACAATTGTATAGTCAACATCATGTCAGGTTATACAATTCTGTAAAATTGCTTGTTTTCATTTTAAAACTTAATGCTTTGAGTATAGCGTGCAAAATCAACTGGAGACATTTGAAATATTGTAATAACCTGACATGAGCCGTGTGCACCTATGATGAAATTAGAAATGAATTGTAATAATTTTACCCTCTACTCGGCAACTCCATTTGGTCTACGATCACCGACTTCACGTACAATCGATCGTTGCACCACAGGATGCATAGAGATCGCGGTTCTAGTACATTCATATCGTACTCCCACGATAACTCCACCTGAATATACATGGAAACATTTCATGTAATCAATTCTAATATTTTTATAATTAGAGATGGGCAAAATGTAATCCTGGTAACCTTTACCTAAACTCTATTCTGTATTGAAGATAAAGCACTCACGTAACTCCTAATGTAATCTAAATTTTGTATCACTTGTAAGCAAATTACTGAATATCTTAAATGGTGAAATTATAAATAAGATTACTATATGTGATCGTTTATTAGAAATAATCAGGATTTCATTATGCCCATCTCTGTTTATCAGAGTTTCTGTCTACTTTTAAATATGGAATATGGCAGGTAGTAAATAAAAGTTTAGTTAAAGAAAATACGATAGTAAAGAGAATAGAAACAGGTACATTCATTACTTACAAATTATTTCCAAAAAACAACAAATAAACATAGAAGCCTTAATATTAATTAATTATTTAAGCATCAGCCCTGCGATTGTCTAAAAATCAAAACCCGAATTCGAATTAACTCATGTGTCTGTATTCACGTTATTAAGTAAAAAAATTCAATTGATTGTTTTTTTTGTTGTATAAAAATACAAAACAAAATCGATTGATACGTGTCTCAGATATTCTATTCCTATCACCAATTCAAGATTGAGGGGATGCCGCTTTTTGGTCAATTCGGACACCTGAGTGAATTTGAATTTGGGTTTCGATTTTTCGTTTCGTAGGGCAGGTACTAACTATTTTTCCCTTTTTTTTTATAATAAAAATAAGAAATTGTTATAATCTACGTCTTGTATTTTCGCTATCATAATATGTCATTTACCTTCCTAACTTTACCACCTAAATCCATTGGGTGTGTAACCACAATAGTGTATGATGTTCCGTGCTCTAATCTGAAACAATATTGTTATGAAAATCGTCAATTTATTTTATCTTTGGTCCTCTTGCATAGCACTGCGGTTAGCCCATTAAGTCAGTGAATATGTTTATGACTTTTTATAAAGGCAAATTTATAAGATGGATATCCAATAAAATATAGAGGGAAATCCAGACGTTAAAAAAAGGTAATGGTCACAGTTAAGTGCGAGTCGGAGTATGAGCTCCTGCATGAAATAGTGCATTCCTGTAGGATATTCTTATCAAAATAAATGACGCGGTGATCAAGATTTTGGACAGTGTATAGTTAAACGTGGGTACTAAAGACACGTTAAGCTATTGGTTCCGGTTGCATCTGTAGTTGTTAGTATCCATAAATCTGAGTTGGGATCTCGTGGTGGGTCCGATTGCGTTTCTCTGTGTTTTTTTCTTGGTCTATGCTACAGCAATGAAGACGATCAATAGATATAGATGATGTCTGATTACATTTTTAGTCAGTTAGAAATATGCTTGTTAAATTGTAGCCTAATATTAACCTACATAAAACATAATATGTTTGCCTGATCCTCCGGGCGACTGTGAGAGTTTGTCTAAAAGCATGAAGTTCACCATTTACACAACTTTGCGAGCAATAAAGTTCAAATAAAATTACACACTTACTTGACGTAATTATTTGGTGTCAAATCCATACCATGTATGACACCTCGATCAGATAGTAGAGTTACTTTCAAGAAACCCTGTTGAAATATACAATAATTACAATGATTTGGCACTACCTATGTGTCATTATATTCTTTATATATATAGCGGTCAATAAATAATATAATATTACCTGGACCCATGATTCTGCTCCTTTGGGGTTTGCTAATTGAATGGAGACTTTGTAATGGCGTTCTGAAACAAATAAATGTGTTTTAGGTACTTCTACTTGTTTTATAAAATCGCCCGCTTGTCATCTATGTATAATGTAGCTTCCTGTAGGTGAAAGATTTTTTATTATTCGATCTGTATTATGATCTGACGATTACTGCCTACAAAAAAATAAACACTTAAAAAGAAACTTTACCTCTTTATAATATTAGCATACATATTTAATAAATTTTGCATTTACAGTTCTTAAGTTACTTATTTTTATAGAAAATTACAGAATTTTAACACTACAGCACCTCAGAAGATGGATTTCTTTTGAACCATGTGTCTATAAGATGATGTTTTACAAATAATAATATACTGTATTGGAAAACAATAGATTTCTTTTATTGAAGAACTATTTTCGTAAATCAAACTACGAACGTATGTAATAAAATGATTTTCATTCAGATATGTATTTATACAAACTTACGGCAAAACGGCAGTTCCTTCCCAGTGCTCAGGTAGTATTTCGCGCCAATAGTGTCATGTTCCTCGGAGGGATACACTTCATTTTCTGTCTGATTATTTTTATTAGTTATCAGTCCAGGTGAGCTGTCTGCATGAAATCTGCAAAAAGAATACATTAAACACAATATATGATGATATCAGTAATTGCTTTAAATATCAGTGTTGACATACCCCATGATAGCGCATCCATGTCCACAATGAAAACATTTTCCAGCTAAGAAATGTTGGTATGATGGACACTGATGTCCTGAAAACAAATGAGGTTTGTTTAAACAAAATTTGCTATAAATAAGGCCCCTAATCTACATTTTTTTCTAACCGGGGCATAAACTTAATAGTGTACATGTTGCACTAAAGAACCCAAAATTATCCTACTATTATATTATAAATTTTAAAGTTTCTTTTCTTGGATATTTGACTGTCAATCACGCTAAAATACTGAACGGATTTTGATGAAATTTGGTATACATATAGGGTATCAGTTGACTTAGCTAATAGGATAGGACGTAGGAACTTTTTATCTCACTTAACATTTCCCTAGGGCCCATGCGGGTGAAGCTGCTGGCGAAAGCAAATTTTTAATAAATTATATTTGAAAGGCATGATGGGGTAGCGGTAGCCGTTAGTTTCAGCTTCAAAGTAACACATCTTTCAATGTTCACTGTAGTAATATAAAACGGGAGGAAATTTCATATCATTTAATGTCAGAGAATATTTATTAATTCCCGTTTTAGTACCATGACTTTATTTTCTTATTTTTAGTTAATATTGACTTTCTTTTATTAAAATCAATTAACTATTATAACAGATATTAATAATGCAATAGCAATTGATTTGGTTAATTCATAAATTCTAATAATCTTACCTATATAAGGGCATTTCCCATTGATTGATTCTGTGAAGAGTTTTATAGCCCTTACATGATTGCAGGCAACCAAAACTCTAGACGCTTCCTCAAGACCTTGCTTCACTAAAGTGAGGGGTACCAGTGGACCCTCAGTGAGATCACAACCGGGTTGTTCCTTCCCGTTGTTCGGGTAAAAGTCCAAATGTCCCACAGGTTGAGACATCCCATATCCTGCCATAAACACAAAATCTGTCGCACGCGCAGAATAGACATGACGATTATTAGTTGCAATGCGTATAAATATATAAACTATGTATATACAGTATGAACGATGGATCTAAAAGCGAAAAGCTTTATATTTACATAAATATATATATGTGTTAGTACATTATAATAGAAGCGACAAAGCAATCTACTTACAAACGAAATGCAATGTTATTCATTAGGTACATATATTTAATGATGGAGGTGCGGTGGATCATAAAAAGCGGTAGTGAAGTTATATCACTAATAATATGATTAACGCAGAGGTATTACCTAAAAGAAATATGCTCTTTCCGTCCGTATGAATGACGTCAACGAATTGAGCATCTGTCGGATCTAGCCTGACATGTGTCGGCATGCCTTGAAAATAAGGTTCTGCAGGGTCGAGTCCTGTTATCCTTCCTAAGCCCTACGAAATCAAAAGCTAAATCAAAGACAATATGAAATCGATATGTCGTATGTATCATCTGTTAGAGACACATAATTGATGCTTGTAAAACTATAATTTACCTCTATTCTTTCACCAGCGTAGCCAGCGGTATGCGCTCCTAATGAATGTCCTATTATATGCACGTCTAAAGGATTCAAGCCGTGTTCTTTCTGAAAATGAAATAAAATACAATACGATTTATCTTTAAGATCTTATTGATATTTATCTTAAAGAATATAAAAAAAAACACCAGTCCCAGGCCCTATCCCATTTCAGCCCATCAGATCTAAGGCACTTGGTATTGATAACTCTGATAGGATTCAAACTTGCGTCTTTAGCTAAAAGCTCTAAATTTTAATTAATCTAAAAAGGGTTATGGTTAGTTGTTGAGGTGTTATAGATGTTACCCATGAAGGGTTATAGATGTTACAGGTGAAATGTAATAGATGTTACCTGTAAGATGTTACAGGTGTAATTAAATAGAATCTACATGTTAAGTGTTTCAGATGCTACAGGTGAGGTGTAATAAATGTTGCCTGTGAAATATTATAAATATTACCTGTAAAGTGTTGATGAAGTGCGCCACTTCCAATCCCACTAGTCTCGTGTTGGCTGTCGCCTGCGTGTACAGAGGTAGACTGCCACCCGCCCAGTCCACAATCACTACATTGAAGTCACCCGCTTTTACCAGTTCGTCTTTCATCTCGCTCACCTGAATCATATATATATATAACGACAATACTATAATAAGTTGTAAGTACTCTGTAATTAACGTGTACGAGTAAATACAAGAAAATTAAATAATATATTTTTAATTTTCTCAAGTAAATAGCTAAGCTTCATATATGATTTTTACTATGACCTTTGTTCTTTCAGATATTAGATAGCAGAAGATGTTTAGCTACTTAGGATTGAGCAATTATGTGGTGTTGTTATATGTACCTATTAATTACGGATATAATTATCATCATCACCTATCTATTGATGTACACTCAGGCTTTCCCTAAAGATGGAATAAAATAAAATCGAAGTGAGAATGGGCCATGAGTCATGACCCATCATGCGGGACCAGTGCGGATATCAACGGCTTAACGTGCTTTCTGAAGTACGAAGATTCTCAAGACAACAAATTTTTGGTCATCCATTCTATGAACGGACCTTGTGAAAGTTGCTTAACTTACGTATCGTATATCAAACGCATTGACCACTACTCCATCCATCTATAAATATATAATAAACAATATTAACCCAGTTGGAAAGTGGCGTGTCTATGAAGCCGTGAATGATCATCTTGGTGAGCCGCTGCGGATTGAAATTGGACTTCACTATCGTCTTGTTTAAGTTCACGTTCAACAGTTGACCGTCTGTGGGATTCTTCTTTGTGTACAAAATAAACCTAAACGTAATATTGAACACTTATTAGTTAAATTATTGTGGACGTTTCGCTGAAAATGTAAGAATGGTAGGTAGAATTTACTAGAAAATATTCTAACACTTAAAACCTTTGAATTTTTGAAGAATTAATTTATTAGCGAACCTTAGCGTTCCCGTGCGCGTGATATAACAGCCCTGCGATTCTGTAAAACTTCAAACCCGAATTCAAATCCGCTCAATCCTGAATTGGTAATAACGTTTCGTGGCATAGGTGAAGTGAGTTACGAAATGATATAGGATAATATCTATGACACAAATAATCAATCAATTTTGTTAAGTATTTTTGTACAATAAATGGAATCAATAATATTTCTCTACTAAATGAATTCGCACACATGAGTGAATTCGAATTCAGGTCTTTATTTTTACAGAATCGCACTGCAGATGACACAAGTGAATCACGTTCGTAGTGGCATATCACGCGCGACAGAAAGAGTCTAGTAAATACTAATGCGAATACGACGTTATTGCACTTCTCTTAATTCTTGTTTCGGTTTATTAATTGCTCTATATTAATAATAGGGGTTAAAGTATGAAATTGCCGATTTATAATGAAAATCAAAAATGTTTATTTTTTTATAAATTTATTTAATCATAATAGCTACCATTATTACCTATATACTGCTGCTATCTAATTGAAACGTCATGTATACCTTTGTGATAGAACTCTGACGATCTAGACTGCAAAAACTGTGTGAAAGAATTTTGTAAAAATGGTAGTCCGTTGGAGCAAGGTCTGGCGAATACGGAGGATGACGAATGGTTTCTAACTGCAGTTCCTGAAGGGTCAAAACGGTTTCTCGTGCTATATGAGGTCTCACGTTGTCACGGAGCAATAATGGTGTAGATCGATTCATGAGTCGGGGCTGTTTTACTGCTAGTTTTGCCAACATTGTTCAAATTGATTCAACAAGGCAACACAAGTTTCAACACGCGTTTCTTTCTGCAGATCAATCAAATAATGAGGCACCCATTTTTCGCTTTTTTTTTAGGTCTTTCGAAAACCTCAAACCATCTCAGTTCAAGGAACTTATGTATTACAATAAAACGGCAATTTCATATTTTAACACCTAATAATAAACATCAATATATTCATCCAATGCCAGAAGAATTTCATATAGTAAAATAGTGTATAATTTTTTTTTTGTTTCCGCAGCAGAACATCGAGCATTGTAAATGTTTATATACTATAATATATTAAAAAGTCTTTGATTTATCTGCATTTATCAATAGTTTATTAAAAATAGAGAAAGCTGAAGTAATACGAGGATCTGGTGCAATACGGTTTTACTAACTCAATTTAAATAAAGAATTTCAAAAATTTATACAATATCTACAAATATATAAAAAAAAAAAATTTATGTACAAAACGGAATATTATCCATAACACCTGTTATAATCAAAGTTGAAATTATATATTCGATACAACGAACCCTGCAAATTCCAACGGTGTGTAACTTCCAGAAAGTTATCATATTAAATGAAAAGAAGCAGGCACAGAAATATCCCTCAAATGACGTACCTCGTGTTGATGACTACTCTGGGCAAAGGAAAAACGTTGAAGGGACGATGGATGAGGTGGTACCAACTTCTCGTGATATTTAGACAGCCGAGTTCATCATAGCACCTGGTTTCATTTTCAACTGGAATTAATATTACACATGATCAAGTTTAACTTCTTAAGAACAGTGAAAGCCATTAATGATAAAATATATAGGCTTCTTTTTTGACGTGACTTGTTTTTCGAGTTTCATCTGCCTCATCAGCGGATGCACTGACTCTCCACAAATTGACACTCTAATTATATAATAACTAGCTTTCCGCCCGCGACTTCGCCTGTGTAAAGTTCGGGTATTATTCGGATAGAAACTATCCAATGTCCTTTTAGAAGGTCCACTCTATTTCTGTATTTAATTTCGATTAATTGGTTCAGTAGTTTAGACGTGAAAATGAAAAGGTACACGTACTGTGACAGGGTTACTTTCAGAATTAAAATATTAGTATGGATTCTGATGAATTTGTATTTTTGTAATAACCTGTTTTTAACCGACTTCAAAATCGAAAAGGAGGAGGTGTATTTTTTTTCTTATTTTTTTATGTATGTCCATCGATATTTTCGCGAGTAGTTCACCGATTTTCAAAATTCTCTCATTCAACTAATAACCTTCAGAAAACCTCAATCCTTCACTAGCAGTTTCTTGAATAAGTCTCTTTTAAGATAAGTATTATTTCTCACTTCTTTATAGTTTGAAGTCGGTTCTATTTAAAACATAAAAAGGTCATTGATTTGTTCTCTATTAAATGGTATTTAAACGTAAAAAATATGTAAAAAGTATACTTGTTAATAATTTACTGTTTAATAATTTTCTTACATGGCAGCCAGGGTATGTTGACTTCTATGCGGTCGGAGCGTGCCCAATTGAAAGGGTCCAGGATACCACCAAAAGCAGGTTGAAGGCCCAACAAGATACACCACAGCATCACTCGCAAATGTCTGTCTGTCAGGTGCAGACGGCGCATGCTGTATGTACTCTCACTGGAAGCAACATTTAAGTATTTTGATTAAATTATAGACAAAAAAATTCCACACGACACAGAACTAGTAATTCACAGAAAACATTTTAAAAAACTACACAAAAGGCTGAAAACTGTAAAGGCAAAAAAGGGCGAAGATTTAGTGGAAAATTTTAACCACCCGACGTTATTTTTCTAATACGAGGGTCAAACTGAAAGTTCTTAGAAAATCAAAAACTGATTACATTAGCCAGTTATTAGTTTTATTATATCTTTTCAAAATATTGTCCATTCACGTCAATACACCGCTGCATGCGATGGAACCACTGGGAAAAGCACTTTGCCCACTCGTCCTTAGGGGTCTCTTCAATGGCATCGCGATACGCAGCCACCGCTTCTTCAGCATTCATAAACCGCTTTCCTTTAAGTTTTTCTTTAATTTTTGGAAATAAATAAAAATCACAAGACGCGAGGTCGGGGCTATACGGCGGGTGACCCAGTAATTCAACGTTTGATGTCGCCAAATAGTCGATCGTTCGCTTGGCGGTGTGCGACGAGGCGTTGTCGTGGTGAAGGAGGATCCTACTGCGAGGTCGTTTCTCTCGAACTTTTTCCAAGACAAGTGGCAAACAATTGGTAGTGTACCATTCTGCAGAAACTGTTTTTTGATCCTCTAACACAATTGTTGCAAAATGACCTATCAATCCAAAGAACGAGGCCACCATTTTTTTTCCCGCACTTCGATCTCTCTTCACTTTAGTTGGCAACTCCTCGAAAGGAAACACCCACTGAGCAGATTGTCTTTTGGTTTTAGGATCATAACAGTAAATCCAGTTTTCGTCACCTGTTAGTATGTCGAACACAGCATTTGAGTCACCTCCGTTAAATCTTTCAATCATTTTACGACACCAATCCACACGATGGAGTTTTTGAGCCTCAGTCAAATTATGAGGTATCCACCGGGCGCAAAGCTTCCTGACCGCTAAATGCTCGTGGAGGATTTTGTGCACTTGACTCATACCGATGCCTAAGCTTGTCCGAATCTGTTGATAGGTCACTCTTTTGTCAGTCTCTATCATACGCCGCACAACACAGATGTTATCTTCAGTCGTCGCCGTAGAAGGCCGTCCCTCACGTAAATCATCAGTGAGATTAGTGCGACCACGTTTAAACTCATTAAACCAGTTGTAAACAGTCGCACGAGATGGGGCTTCATCGTGAAAGGCCAATCGTAGTCTATCATAACTTTCTTGTTGACTTAAATGACATCGAAAGTCATAAAAAATCATTGCACGAAAATTTTCTCGTGTTAAATTCATGATGACGTGACACAGACAATTTTCAATTTGCCGCCAAATCGTAAAACAAATGACAAATGAATGAAATATATACTCAGTAATATTGGCAAAGAGTTATATTTTCAAATTTTAGAATTATTTTTTTATTATATTGTTTATAAGTGGCCAGTTCTAAGAACTTTCAGTTTGACCCTCGTAGTTACTTAAATAGAATTCTCATTAGTGACAGCGTCGTCGGGAGAATTCGGGTAATTTCTGGGAAGAAATTCTCCATAAAAAACAAAAGTACTACCTACCAATTAATAGGACCATTTTGAGAACACACTCTTTCAAACAAATACATATATTTTGTAAAAAAAATATAATTTGTTTATCGATTATAAAACTATTATTCAATGGTGTAATTGTTCAGTATTACTTAAAACATTATTCTAAGCATTGGGCTTGTTTTTTATTTCATATACTTTCTTAGTTTTTTTCGCAGTCGGGTTTTTTATTTTAATAATTATTTTTTCATTTTACACTTTAAAATTAGGATTCATTGGCTTCGTTATTAAGATTACAAGACAGCAAATCTCCCAATCTTGCCATTTCATTAAGGGAATTAATGTCGTGGTGATTATTTAGTAACTTCCGGTGCTCTAAGTTACTGATTTGAAATCCTTCTAGAGACCTCAACTCAGCTTAAAGCTACATATGCTCGACTCTTAGCAAAAAATGCGTGAATTTAGGTCAACTGCAGCTCAGTCCAAAGTAGTTCCTTGGAGTTTGTATACAGTTACCCCAGCACAATATCAATGGCAACATTTTTCGCTCTATTTTACCCTGTCCACGAAGGACATCGAATTCTATCGTCACTGGTTCGATTCTGACTCCTAATCCAGGAACATTATTTTTAATCGCTTTGTAATCAAATTCTATATAAACATCGTATGGCAATTCTCTGAGTTCTATTTGATCCCTTCGAAGGGCTTGTTTCTCAATGTTCCTTATAACTCCTATTCCTCTGTTGACAAGTCCGTCGTTAATATTTGAATTTCGTCTTAGCATAACTCGTGATTCTAAACTGATTGTCAAATATTTAACAATTATCTTTCGGTTTTTGACCATATGTCTTCGATTCTATTGATATATTAACTGCGTGTAATTTATATAACATAGTAGTGTTTTCCTATACTGTTGTCATCTTTTGATTGTGTCCATCGACTTGTTTAGTAGTTGGGAAAATTCGAATGATTTCATTGATATCGTTTACGTTTATTCGCCGAATATCAAATATCAAATAATTGCATCATATCACTATAATATAAACTTTTTGGAAGAAATCTAAAAATAATTTTTGAATTCCCATTCAACAATATCTCACTTGACTTCTCACTTGACAACGCCACATAGCAATAAACATACATATATTGATAAACACATTACCATACGCAGTCGGTAATAAAAAGAGATCATCAAAATCGATCAACGACTAACGAAGACTTTTTGGAACATAAATACAAAAAAAAAAAACATTCAGTCGAATGGAAATCTCTTTACGTATATACTAGGTAAGACTGTAAAGATCATAATAAGCATCTGTATTCCTGAGAGGAGTTGGGTTGGCTGGATTAAGACAGCTAACTTTTTACGCATAATGGGCCGAAATTTGGGGCCTCCTAACCTTGAGAACTTCTTCCTTTTTCGAAGACGGTTGAAAATGACTACTGAGGTAGACAAATACTACGAAGACAAATATCATAAAGTTGACTCAACGATCTCTATTTTTTGCATAGACTTAATAACAACGTCAGATAGTTAATGTGCTTTTGTTGCTTTTGTTTTTATTTACATAATTCGAACATTGTGTCGAAAACCTCGATTGATAAACTGATAAATCCGAAGATACTTACTCCTTACGCAAGATCTTATCAATAGCTCTGTAACGAGGCTCACTTTATAATTGTTGGATAAAAGTATTTCACAATGCCTTATCTTTTATTATATTTTTGTAAGCGTGTTATTGTTAAGTCACTCTGAAGTATTACGGCTGCCCCAGATTCTTGAAGGATTTCAGATATCTATCTTATGTTTTAATTTCACTTCCCGAAATCGAACTTTATAGTCTAAGAGGCGTGACAAAAATGTGCAAGAGTTTATCTAAGCTTGATGTTGAATTATAAAGACAAAAATACTCAGATCACATAGTTGTGGAGCGCGGTGACTTACCACGTCTCAGAAGTTGTTGCAAAAGTCAGCTCCGAGGTGTTCCAACACTTGACCTCTGCACCAGATAATTATAAGAGTTATAGTATTAGTATTTCAACACACTGAAATATCAAGTTTTGAGAAACTCTAGCACATTTTTGTCATGAGCTCTCGTTCTATTATTTGCGTCACTCAAATAGCGAAACTCTCACCAGTTTTATGATAACCGATTGTGTTCATTCGAATCACAATCTTCACCTCATTTGCATAAGTCTATTTATCTAGTGCAGAACCGTTGGCTGTCATTACCGTACCTATGTTCGGTACGTGACTTGGCGACGTATAATTTTCCGTGATAAAGAGTCACTGCTTCCTTCGTTAGCTTCCGCACTTCGGCAAGCTATGCGGAAGGTTCACCGTACCTTACGCAATTCATAATCATGATATCAGTATTAACATCAGTGATATTTTTTTTATATATTAACATTATAATATTAATGAGTAATTATTGATATTTTGACGACCTCCGTAGCCGAGTGGTTTGCACGCCTGTTTCAAGATATCGCCAACTCTTAGAGACCAGGTTCGATTTCCGCTCGGGTCAATGTAGAAAATATACTTTTCTATATTGTCTCGGTTCTGGATTTGCGGTACTATCGTTTTCTCGGATAATCCATAAAATGGTTTTAGCAACTCATCTTGAAATCGGAGCAATGCATGTGATCTAATATTTAATGTTATTATGTGATACAATATCTGTATTTTATTTAATATTTTTATTTGTTCAATTTTAAACAATGTTTATATAATGAGGTTTTTATTTTCTAATTATTTATTATTTTGTTTATTAAGGCAATCACTTGCCAACTGATGGATTGAAGTAAACTGTATTGCTGAAGAGGAATAAATGAGAATAGTAATTAATTTGGATACGGTAAACATAATATTATCAAGTTTATATTAATTATATAAGTTTATTATTTTTATTAACGTTGTAAAACATTGGTTTTTTATTGCAATCAACAAGTTCTTTGTTTTCTTTTTACAGTGATTTGTTTTTATTATCACGAGAATTAAACTCATTGTTGCCGTCAGTGATTGTTCGTTGGTATTTTATATTTTTTGTTCTATTAAATTATAAATACATATAGTCAAACGAATGCATAGTAATCAAATCCCTTGTATTATGGAAATCTGAAAAAACAAGATACAGTAGAGGCCATGAATCGAATCCGAGATTTCAGAGGTGAAACCACTGTGAAGTTTTCTGTCTATTGGTAGTGCGATCGGTTTTCTATCGTTCAGCTCTTTTTAATTTCTTCTTACTCAAGTAGACTTACGGTCAGTTGCAAAAACGTCCATTTAGGTTAATGACGCCTTTAAGCTCTAATGAATGTCTTATTTGTATTGGTAATGTCGCTTTAATCTAATGATAATTTTAATGAACGTTTGTGCAACTGACCGTTAGCAGCTGTTGCTGTTAAGAAAATCACACTATTGACAAATGTTGAACCGGTAATATTGGTTTATTTTA